ATTAACTCCAGATGTTTTTCTGTAATGTATTCTTTGTGTTATCACTAAGGGAATGGCACAGGTGGCTTCATGACAGGGCCCCAGCCGGGTCTCTCCTCTAACTAGACTGCCAGTGGCTGCGAAAGCAGAGACCCTGTGCATCCTAGTGTTTAGAGAAAAGAGGGGTAGGGGAAGGCGGGGGAGGAGGATGGAGAGGTGGGTGGCTTTTGGGTGTTGAACGAGGGGGGCAGGGAGGTGGATGGGTTTTTGGTGATGGGTTAGGGGAGGGGCAGGCTGAGTTGGGTGGTGGACGAGGGGGGAGTGGAGGTGGAGGGTTTCTTGGTGAGTTAGGGGGGGGGAGGTGGGCTAAATGAGCAGGAGGGGGGGGTGGAATACTTATGGGGTTAGAGGAGGGACGGGTGGATTTTGTGGGAGAATTTGAGTTGGACGCCCTAGGTGGCTTTGGAGGTACGTATGGGGAGTAGTTTTGAATGTTAGATAGGACTCTTGATCTGGCTACAGTGGGTGTGAGAGGAATAGTCTTCATCGCCGATCTTATCATGCCTGCAGAGTGTTCCGGTAAATCCAGTAGTGAAGGCGGGGATAGAAAACAAAGGGAAAGGTCGTCCTCATTTTCCCTAGATGGAGTGGATGTAGCGGGGGGGACCCAAGCCGGGTCCATGGAAGGTGATGAGGGAGTCTTTGGTGGAGACAGAGGTGGTTGAGGAACCCCCAGTACAGGCCTGACTGTAGCCTGGAGTAATGGGGGAAGCTTCACGGGAGCTGTAGGTGGGGAAGGTGCTGCTGAAGATGACGGAGCAGCCACTGCTGCTGCTGAAGATGATGGAGCAGCCACTGCTGCTGCTGTATCCACTGCTGCTGGTGAAGATGATGGAGCAGCCACTGCTGCTGCTGAAGATGATGGAGCAGCCACTGCTGCGGCTGTATCCACTGCTGCTGCTGAAGATGATGGAGCAGCCACTGCTGCTGCTGTATCCACTGCTGCTGCTGAAGATGATGGAGCAGCCACTGCTGCGGCTGTATCCACTGCTGCTGGTGGTGCTGTATATGCTGATGGCGCTGATGAAGATGTGGCAGCTGCTGATGATGCTGGGGGTGGAGGCGTTGAGCTCTTTCGAAGCCGTGGAGGTGTTGAGTTCTTTTGGAACCTTGGAGGTGTTGAGTTCTTCTTGAATCGTGGAGGTGTGGAGTTCTTTTGAGGCGGTGGGGGTGCAGAGACCTCGGGAGTCGGTGGAGATGGTCGTGTGATGTCTGTGCCCTTTGCTTCTTCTTTCTCCCTTTCAACGGCTGCACGCGCTGCGCAGGCTGAGGTCTTAGGGCAGATGCAAAGTTATCCATCAGCACTTTTACTCCGTAGTTGTTCAGATGTGGGCCTTTTTCTTCAAAAAGCTCGTGCCTATTCCAGAACAGATTAAAGTTTTCAATGAAGCCAAGTCCTCTGCGTGAACACTCATTGAGTAGAAATGTATTTAGCTGATACAGACGGCTAAACTTCTCCATTTTTCCATCTATATTTGGCAGTGGGCCACTAAGAAAAATTGTTATGTCCATTTTCTTGAGGTCATCCAGTAACAGCGTTAAATCCATTCGTAACTTCTCGCTTGCCTTCTCATAGATATCTACCGCCCCCGTGTGGATCAATAATGTACGCACACCACTGTTCTCAGATAACACTTTAGGCAGGAGAGTTCTTATCTCAGCAACTTTAGCAGAGTGAACTGAGACAGTGAGCATGGACTCCATGTTTACATTTTTCACCGAGCCATCTCCGATAAGGACAGTTTGTCCTTGGTGGAGGCGCTGCAGTTTTTAGCAGCTTTGTTGTAGAGACTACTGCTGATTCATCTTCCAAAAGTGGTGAAAAGCGGTTTCTTGTAATTAAAGATTTTTGCTGTGGCATTATGACACTCTTGTTATCATTAGCTTTGCCTTGTTTGGGCTTGGCACCATATGTGTTCCAACAATTGTCTCTGTTGATTTTGGGAAATGAAATAGCGTCATCATAACTTACGTTCTGTCCATGTGGTCCATTTCCTTTCACTGGTATTGTTGTGTTCAGCCCCAATTCTGATTCAAGCACAAACATTCGGTCTTGAAGAAGTTTTAGCTCCTGTTTGAGTGAAAAACAGCCGTCGCAAAGTTTTGTTCTTTCCCGTCCTCCCGACATGCTGTAAGTTAGGTAAATTCCACAAGTCTTGTGTTGAAGTTTGTAAAAAGGAGTAATCCGTGTTTTGTGGAATAAAAATGTAAGCAAAAATGATTAAAGGAGATAAAAAAGCAGCAAGCGAGGAGCAGCAAGAGAAAAATCCATCCATCCATCAATCCATCCATCCAAATTCATCCATCCATCCATCCATTTTCTACCCTTTAATCCATTTCTGGGTCAGGGGGGTGGCAATCAGAGATGCCACCCAAGTCTCATAGCACCAGCCCCTCACTGACCCTCTGCAGGTGGTGAGTCCACAGGAGGGCGGCTGCTCTCTGACTGTGAGCATAGCCTTGATCTTTCAGTGGGGGCTTTGGGCAAAGTGGGGTTAAGTGTCTTGCCCAAGGACACAACAACAGCAGTCATCAGTGGGAGTCGTTGGAGAAGGTGCAGAGGTGGGAATTGAACCCACGACCTTCTGGACTTAAGGCCAATGCTCTACCAACTGAGCTACCACATTGGAAAAACTGATGGATATCTTTTTGACTGAGAGACCGGGGGCCAGAGAGAGACCGGGGGCCAGAGAGAGAGACCCGGGGGCCAGAGAGAGAGACCCGGGGGCCAGAGAGAGAGACCCGGGGGCCAGAGAGAGAGACCCGGGGGCCAGAGAGAGAGACCCGGGGGCCAGAGAGAGAGACCCGGGGGCCAGAGAGGGAGACCCGGGGGCCAGAGAGGGAGACCCGGGGGCCAGAGAGGGAGACCCGGGGGCCAGAGAGGGAGACCCGGGGGCCAGAGAGGGAGACCCGGGGGCCAGAGAGGGAGACCCGGGGGCCAGAGAGGGAGACCCGGGGGCCAGAGAGGGAGACCCGGGGGCCAGAGAGGGAGACCCGGGGGCCAGAGAGGGAGACCCGGGGGCCAGAGAGGGAGACCCGGGGGCCAGAGAGGGAGACCCGGGGGCCAGAGAGGGAGACCCGGGGGCCAGAGAGAGAACCGGGGCCAGAGAGAGACCGATCAAGATAGAAATAAATCACATCACAAAAGAAATAATTAATATTCACAGTGCATTAAAAAGAGTAAAGATACAGTCCCTCAGTTGTTTGCAGCTAAACCTGGATTTGAACGTTGTCAGAGAATAGCCCTGGCTCATATTTTACCGGAAGACTGTTGCAGATTTTAGCTACATGAATCTGAAACGCTGCCTCCCCATGTTTAGTTAAGACCGCAGCAGCAGCAGCAGCAGCAGCAGCAGCAGCAGCAGCAGCAGTAACAGCAGCAGCAGTAACAGCAGCAGCAGTAACAGCAGCAGCAGCAGCAGTAACAGCAGCAGCAGTAACAGCAACAGTAGTATCAGTAGCAGCAGCAGCAGTAACAGTAGTATCAGCAGCAGCAGTAGCAGCAGTAGCAGCAGCAGTAGCAGCAGCAGCAGCAGCAGTAGCAGCAGCAGCAGCAGCAGCAGCAGCAGTAACAGCAGCAGTAACAGTAGTATCAGTAGCAGCAGCAGCAGCAGCAGTAGCAGTAGCAGTAGCAGCAGCAGCAGCAGCAGCAGCAGTAACAGCAACAGCAGTAACAGTAGTATCAGTAGCAGCAGCAGCAGCAGCAGCAGCAGCAGCAGCAGCAGCAGTAACAGTAGTATCAGTAGCAGCAGCAGCAGCAGCAGCAGTAGTAGCAGCAGCAGTAGCAGCAGTAGTAGCAGCAGTAGCAGCAGCAGCAACAACAGCAGCAGTAGCAGCAGCAGCAGCAGCAGTATCAGAGACAGAATCCTCCAAACTCCTGCAGTGGTCTCTGGGAGTGTAGCTGGAGCCGTGGGCAGCAGAGGGGCTCCTGCTCAGAATAGCCTCAATTGACAAGACAGCTGCGCCGACGACACCTCAGCCTTGGAATAGCCTCGCGCCATGAGACGGCCGGTCCACTGTATACACACACAGACACACACACACACACACACACACACACATACACACACATACACTATTCACCGCAGAACATGGGAGCTGCTGGAAGTATTCTTAACCCTCTGCCCTGGAATGTCACCCTCCACTAAGATTAGGCGCTGAAGGCCTTGGGACGGTTTGAGCCGGGACAATATTAGGTGTGTTTCCACTGTTTGTCCACACAGCCCCCTGCTTCCCACGCAGCTCGGAATACAAACAATATATCTGTGCGTGTGTGTGTGATCTTCAGAGAGATCGTTTCATAAGACTAAAAAACCAGTGTTGGGCAAGTTACAATATTACTGTCTCTGAATCTATTACTGCAGTACTTTGAAGTTACTTTCGACAAATATGTACACAAATTAAATGTAGCTTATGATGCTAGCTGGAGGTCGATAGATATTGGTTTGAACATAAACTCCACATCTTTGTCTCCAACTCTAAATAACGGAGTCTGTCCATCTGTATGATGTACTGTTGTCCACATAGAGCTGCTTCTGCTTCAGCCTCAGCCGTCTTCTACCAGAAAGGAACAACACTTTTTGGCAAATACTATTCGAGCAGATTTGTGTCCTGCTGATGTCGCGGTGCAGAGGATAAAAGCAATGCATTATTTAATTTCAGGTTTTTATAACGCCTTACATTACTGCGTTACAGCAAAAAGAAACGCATTATTTAAATTACTTTACTTTAGTAACATATTACTCCTAACACTGCTGATAATGTGTGTACTTGTGAGTTTGATGAGAGTTTTATCACCGTGAGGCGTTAATGGTGCTGCTGTTGTGTGCAGGAAAAAAACAACATAAAATGATTCCCTGGGGCTGGAGCACAATGGTCTATAGCGGAGCTGGAATGGCTGCAGTTAAAGGACGAGGGGTGGAGTGATTGATGTGTTTGTGTGTGTGTGTGTGGTTCCTCAGGTGCAACTACGGCTGGCAGGGGCAGTTCTGTGACGAGTGTGTGCTGTACCCCGGCTGTGTCCACGGCACCTGCACCCTGCCCTGGCAGTGCAGCTGCGAGAGGAACTGGGGAGGCCTGCTCTGCGATAAAGGTATGGAGGCTAAATAACGATCTACGGTGAGAGGACTGAGAGAGGACTGAGAGAGGACTGAGAGAGGACTGAGAGAGGACTGAGAGAGGACTGAGAGAGGACTGAGAGAGGACTGAGAGAGGACTGAGAGAGGACTGAGAGAGGACTGAGAGAGGACTGAGAGAGGACTGAGAGAGGACTGAGAGAGGACTGAGAGAGGACTGAGAGAGGACTGAGAGAGGACTGAGAGAGGACTGAGAGAGGACTGAGAGAGGACTGAGAGAGGACTGAGAGAGGACTGAGAGAGGACTGAGAGTGGACTGAGTGAGAGAGGACTGGAGAGGACTGGGAGAGGACTGAGGACTGGAGGACTGGGAGAGGACTGGGAGAGGACTGAGAGAGGACTGGGAGAGGACTGAGGGAGGACTGAGGAGGACTGAGAGAGGACTGAGGGAGGACTGGGAGAGGACTGAGGGAGGACTGGGGAGGACTGGGAGAGGACTGGAGAGGACTGGGAGAGGACTGGGAGAGGACTGGGAGAGGACTGGGAGAGGACTGAGGAGAGGACTGAGAGAGGACTGAGAGAGGACTGAGAGAGGACTGAGAGAGGACTGAGAGAGGACTGAGAGAGGACTGGGAGAGGACTGGGAGAGGACTGGGAGAGGACTGGGAGAGGACTGAGAGAGGACTGGGAGAGGACTGGGAGAGGACTGAGAGAGGACTGGAGAGGACTGGGAGAGGACTGAGAGAGGACTGGGAGAGGACTGGGAGAGGACTGGGAGAGGACTGGGAGAGGACTGAGAGAGGACTGGGAGAGGACTGGGAGAGGACTGGGAGAGGACTGGGAGAGGACTGGGAGAGGACTGGGAGAGGACTGAGAGAGGACTGAGAGAGGACTGAGAGAGGACTGAGAGAGGACTGAGAGAGGACTGAGAGAGGACTGAGGGAGGACTGAGAGAGTGGCCGTAGAGAGAGACGCCAGAGAGCCAGAGATCTTACAGACTCGCACCGATAAACCCCAGTGCTATTAAGAATCTGCATCTGATGTTGTACTCTGTAGTAGTAATTTCAGACGTAGCTTGCTCCTGACACTGAGCCGTGGCGTGTCCCGGGGTCAGGCCGCCCTCAGGCTTCTCGCTCAGGTTGTTAGTCTCGCTGTAATGACTGTAGTAAGATGTTAGCTGCTTCCTGCGCACTGGAGAGCCGCGGATAGTTTTACTGCTGCGCTACCGGAGCCACAGCAGAGACACCTGATCCCTCGCTGCTGCCCCGTCATGAGGGCTCTTCAGGGGATGAGGCGAGGATCCAGGCTGGAGACAGATCCCTCCTCATTTATTTACCAGCGCGAGGGTGACCTGGCCTTCAAAGGAAGAGCCAGGATCAGGTGGACCAAAGTGGAGGCTTTTTCACAATGAAAAACCTGAGAAGTGTATTGGAAACAGGGACACAGCAGGGGCCAACATGGTCATTACTCTTAGTGCAAGGTCTATGGTCTCTCTCTCTGGTCTCTCTCTCTGGTCTCTCTCTCTATGGTCTCTCTCTATGGTCTCTCTATGGTCTCTCTCTCTATTGTCTCTCTCTATGGTCGCTCTCAGCTTGCTCTCTATGGTCTCTCTCTGATGTCTCTCTGGTCTATCTATGGTCTCTCTCTCTCGTCTGTCTCTGGTCTCTCTCTGGTCTCTCTCTTGCTCTCTCTCTCTCTGCTCTCTCTCTCTGCTATCTCTCTGGTCTCTCTCTCTGCTTTCTCTCTGGTCTTTCTCTCTCTCTCTGGTCTCACTCTCTGCTCTCTCTCTCTCTGCTCTCTCTCTGGTCTCTCTCTCTGTTCTCTCTCTCTCTGGTCTCACTCTCTGGTCTCACTCTCTGGTCTCACTCTCTGGTCTCACTCCCTGGTCTCTGTCTGGTCACACTCTTTGGTCACTCTCAGGTCTCTCTGCTCGCTCTCTCTCTGGTCTCTCTCTCTGGTAGTGTCTTAGAACATGGTCATTGAGTACAATATCTCTGATTAATTTTAACGCAGGATCCATGCTGTTGGTAGTGTAAACTTCCTCGTCTCTGAGACAGAACGCTTGTGAAAACACTTCATGGTTCCCGTCAGAGCTGACAGCTGGTGCTCCAGTGAGAGCCTTGAGCTTCCTAGTAACTCCCAACGCAAGCAGGAGCCGGCCAATCAGAACAGAGTGAGGCCAGAGAGAGTGAGGCCCGGAGAGAGTGAGGCCAGAGAGAGTGAGGCCGGAGAGAGTGAGGCCGGAGAGAGTGAGGCCCGGAGAGAGTGAGGCCGGAGAGAGTGAGGCCCGGAGAGAGTGAGGCCCGGAGAGAGTGAGGCCCGGAGAGAGTGAGGCCCGGAGAGAGTGAGGCCCGGAGAGAGTGAGGCCCGGAGAGAGTGAGGCCCGGAGAGAGTGAGGCCCGGAGAGAGTGAGGCCCGGAGAGAGTGAGGCCCGGAGAGAGTGAGGCCCGGAGAGAGTGAGGCCCGGAGAGAGTGAGGCCCGGAGAGAGTGAGGCCCGGAGAGAGTGAGGCCCGGAGAGAGTGAGGCCCGGAGAGAGTGAGGCCCGGAGAGAGTGAGGCCCGGAGAGAGTGAGGCCCGGAGAGAGTGAGGCCCGGAGAGAGTGAGGCCCGGAGAGAGTGAGGCCCGCCCAGAGAGAGTGAGGGAGGCCCAGAGAGAGTGAGGGAGGCCCAGAGAGAGTGAGGGAGGCCCAGAGAGAGTGAGGGAGGCCCAGAGAGAGTGAGGGAGGCCCAGAGAGAGTGAGGGAGGCCCAGAGAGAGTGAGGGAGGCCCAGAGAGAGTGAGGGAGGCCCAGAGAGAGTGAGGGAGGCCCAGAGAGAGTGAGGGAGGCCCAGAGAGAGTGAGGGAGGCCCAGAGAGAGTGAGGGAGGCCCAGAGAGAGTGAGGGAGGCCCAGAGAGAGTGAGGGAGGCCCAGAGAGAGTGAGGGAGGCCCAGAGAGAGTGAGTGAGGCCCAGAGAGAGTGAGTGAGGCCCAGAGAGAGTGAGTGAGGCCCAGAGAGAGTGAGTGAGGCCCAGAGAGAGTGAGTGAGGCCCAGAGAGAGTGAGTGAGGCCCAGAGAGAGTGAGTGAGGCCCAGAGAGTGAGAGTGAGGCCCAGAGAGTGAGAGTGAGGCCCAGAGAGAGAGAGTGAGACCAGAGAGTGAGAGTGAGGCCAGAGAGAGAGAGAGAGAGTGAGTCTAGAGAGAGAGATAGTGAGGCCAGAGGGGTAGAGAGGCCAAATATGGTGATACTATGGAATGGTCACATGTTGCTGGTCTCCTCCTGCCCTGCACTGACTCATCTCTGTTCCTGTAGATCTGAACTACTGCGGCCGCCATCAGCCGTGTGTGAACGGTGGAACCTGCATGAACACGGAACCAGACGAGTATTACTGCGCCTGCCCTCAGGGATACTCTGGGAAGACCTGCCAGATCGGTACGAAGCCCTGTAATATACATGCCATTCATATGAAGAGAGATTATACTTCTGTACACATTTGCATTATATCATTCCCATTAGGATCCTCACTGTCAGACTCACAGACCAGAGGGAGGAGAGACGGGAGGGAGAGTAGAGGGAGGGGGAGAGTAGAGGGGGAGGGAGAGCAGGGAGGGGGAGAGGAGAGGGAGAGGGAGAGTAGAGGGAGGGAGATAGAGGGAGAGTAGAGGTAGAGGGAGAGTAGAGGGAGGGAGGGAGAGGTAGAGTAGAGGGAGGGAGGGAGGGAGAGAGTAGAAGGGGAGAGAGACGAGGGGGAGAGAGAAGAGACAAGAGGGAGAGAGTAGAGGGAGAAAGACGAGAGAGGAGAGGGACGAGAATGAGAGAAAAACGAGAGACTAGAGAAAGGCCTGAAAGAGATGAGCATAGATTTGCAGAGATGTGCAATAATGTTTTGAAAGGTGCGATGATTCGTGTCTGCAGTGTTCATCGTACAGTCTGACAGCAGCAGAGAGCCTCAGTGTCTTTGTCCTGTTGTTTCAGTGGAGCACGCCTGCGTCTCTGATCCCTGCGCCAACGGAGCCACATGCCACGAGGTTCTGACGGGCTTCGAGTGTCACTGTCCCCCCGGCTGGAGCGGGCCCACCTGCGCTAACGGTACGACCTTCTGCCTGCTAACACACGGACGCACACGCACACACACACACGCTAACACACGGACGCACACACACATACTCTGCATTTGTCTGTACAGTACCGCTCTCTCTCTCTCTTTTGCTATGCGCTTCATCTAAAAGGTGCGAAAATATCTTGTCTTTCAATTCCATTTATTCTTGTACAAACTAAAATCACAGCAGGAGTTCTCTCTGAGGACTTTCCACAGCTGTCGATTCACCAACACGGATGAATCAAACGGTTCGACCACAAGAAATGCAATGATTTAAAAAAATAAAAATTGGTCCATAAGGCGCAGATGACCAATGTCCATAAATGTTAGGGAAAGACTAGAGCGAGAGAGGCCGGAGAGCGAGAGAGGCCGGAGAGCGAGAGAGGCCAGAGAGCGAGAGAGGCCAGAGCGAGAGAGGCCAGAGCGAGAGAGGCCAGAGCGAGAGAGGCCAGAGCGAGAGAGGCCAGAGCGAGAGAGGCCAGAGCGAGAGAGGCCAGAGCGAGAGAGGCCAGAGCGAGAGAGGCCACAGAGAGAGAGGCCACGAGAGAGGCCAGAGAGAGAGAGGCCACAGAGAGAGAGGCCACAGAGAGAGAGAGGGAGAGGCCACAGAGAGAGAGAGAGGCCAGAGAGAGAGGCCAGAGAGAGAGAGAGGCCAGAGAGAGAGAGGCCAGAGAGAGAGAGGCCAGAGAGAGAGAGGCCAGAGAGAGAGAGGCCAGAGAGAGAGAGGCCACAGAGAGAGAGAGAGAGAGAGAGGCCAGAGAGAGAGAGAGGACAGAGAGAGAGAGGCCAAGAGAGAGAGAGGCCCAGAGAG